AGGGAGTGGTTTGAGTGTGAGCATGTCCGCAGGGACCGGAAAGATGGCGGTGTATCCTTGAGAGAGACGGTCCATGGCTGCTCTCGAGCGCCCTACTAGTCCCATGGAACCTCGTCCCACCTCAACCTTCAAAGTTCCCATTTGAGTATTTGCTACCACCACCAAGATCTGTGACGGGACGCACCTTGCTAAGGGTTTGCGCGGCAGGGCTTGTAGAGGGCCCAAGATACTATGGTGGAAGGGGCTGGGGTTGGTACCAATGCTTGTACCAACCAGTTTGCCACCTACGAATTGTGGAGTACAGGTTCGAGTCCTAGTTCAGGGGTTGTGTGACCTTTTGGCAGTACCACGGGACGTCATTGCTTGTGTGCTTCGGGACATCAATTGAAATTGGAATGATATAGAGGAAACTAGCATCTACCCCTCAGGGCGCTGTTCGTCGGGCCACATTGCGCTTGGCCCGATCTGCAGTGAGAGGTATGAGTAGGTGCATGCCCTTTGGGGACCCAAGAGAGGAAGAACGTGTCCTGGCGGAGCGGTGCAGGGGTGTTGCGGCAGAGCCGGGGAGCATTACTGATGCACAACTCGTTCGTCGGGTTTGGGTATAAGAGCGGGGAAAACCGATCGGATCGCTTAGTGGCAAAACTTTTTGAGATGCTGTTCGTATGAAGTAGCGTTGCGAGTCGATCGGTTGCCTGCGCTAACAGAAGAACAACGGATGAACTCGGGTGCTGTAGGAGCGGCTACTGTTGGGAGGCTCGATAACAGGAAGAAAAAGAAACCGGGACGCATTTTCGCGCCAGGTGCAATCGGAAGGAGGAGGCCGAGAGTGGGTATGGTGGAGGAGAAATCGGTCAGTACGCTCGACACCCTGCGGAATTGGGTGAGCGGAAACTAGGGGTAGGGGTTTTGGAGATGGGCGAATCCAAACCCGCTGTTAGTTTGAGTGATAGATTAGTAAGTTAGGAGCTAGTAGGAAGGAAGACTGCGCGAAGAGATGGTGAAAGTTGGCTATGGCAGGAAGAGAAGAAACGATACCTCGCTCAAGTCTCGACAGGATTCAACGGGGGAACATGCTGGCCGGGGGTTTTTGGCCGTTGCGAGTTGAATGGGAGCGTCAGTTTGGCCGATGAATCGATGGCTTTGGTGCTACTAAGGTAACAGGCTGCGCGGTGTGCTAATAAGGCAAGTCGGGAAGAGCGGCTGTTGGCCGTATGCTTCCATGTTCTAGCGAAGGATTCATGCGATTTTTGCTCGCCTATGGTTGAGCGTTCGAACGGGAGGGGCGTCTCCGAAGGGGGTGAACGACGAAAGAGAGTTCGACATTCGGGAAAGGCGAGATGTATTTTTCTTGTTGTGATTTAGCTGGAGATTCATTCGATTTTGCCGATCCTATCGTTGGAAGTGGCATGAGGACAGTCACGGGATTGGGAACTTACCTGTAGGCAGGAGAGCTCGAGTGAAAGTTTCAACCGGCCTCGCTCATCCCAACGATCGATGGTAGTAGCCTCTCTATCTCCTTGCGTGAATGCTCAGAAGGCAGTGTATCTTTCCGTGTTCCAACGAATGATCCATTCGACTTTCCCATCCTGAAGTTTGGAGCAGTGAGGGGCGAGTCGTGAGGTTGGAAACTTACCGCTGGCTGAGAGGCGCCGTTCATCTTGACGACCGAGGCAGCTAGAGAGTGAACCACGCAAGATTGGAAACGCACCTGCTGGCAAAGTGTTGCCCCTCCTGTCGAACGAAGCGGCGGGAGGGAGTGGCAGGGCCGAAGACTTGCCTGTTAGCTTATACGTTGCCCATCTGACCGTCAGAACGAAGCAGCGAGGGTCGGGCGCGAGTTGAAGAAGTTTCTGCTGACCGGCGTGCTACACAACCTGTTGGAGGCAGCGACAACAAACTCTTGCTTCATTTCGGTTGGGCGCTTTCCAGGCCTTACTGCCGGTATACTGTGCGAATGGAAGACTGTTGTGCACTGCCTGTGTGACCGGCTGTGTTGCCCTGTTGATACTTATGCTATAATGGTTACTGCGGCTACCACGAGTCTTGGCATCGACCGCTGTTTGTTGTGATGACACAAGGTGATTATACCGTTGCTAAATCTTTTGAGTAATATCTTTGTGTGACATGGTCTGCGCCATATTGCTACACAATTGCCTACATTCCGAATAAAGCATAGCGGTGCGTGCTATTCAGACGCCATGTTTTTAAGCTGCGTAGTGAGAGTTTGGCCGGAGATATCAAGGTTGCTGGTTGAAGGAACGGTCAGGCTTAACCAAAGCATTACCCCTGCGATTTGAAGGCTTGCAAGGAGGGCTACTATTGCGACTTGGGACTGCGTCCGAGACCAATTATCTTGCATGTTGGCCTCGGTTTGGATATCTGCTGCGTTCATCGGCCATAATTGTGGGGCCCTCAGGCGTATGAAGGTTTCAAGGCCCTCTCCTGAGAGTTGAGTCAGTCTCTTTCTTGTATCTCGAGAGTCTGAAACCCCTATCTTCTGCCCTTCTTACTAGTCTAATCCAGTTCTGAGGTGGGATTGCAACCCGTAGGACCGCAATAAGACTCTGTGGGGAGTCAGCCCACCGATTGCGGGAGCTGTGCCGGAACTCAGGAGGAGTTTTGGAGGCAGGGAACTGAGAGGTAATCATTTGCTTTCCTTTTATAAACCCAGTTATAACCCCTATCTGTACTTCTTTCTACGGTTTGACTAAGTATGTTGTCTGCATCCCATATTTGACTTTAAGTTTGACTTTCAGGACAAACCAGACATAAGTAAAGGAATGTTTGTGCAAGATCAGTTTCAGTTTTGTTGTTTGACTGAAAGCAGGTTGTGAGAAGGAATTGCATCTGGGGGAAGGATGGGAGGAAGGCAGTATTGCTTGTGTCTGACTGGGTCCATCAAAGGTTGGGCAAGTCTCCATAAGTTTGGAGAGGCCCAATGTTATGTTTATTTTTGAGTTGCCTGGAGGACCAGACATGCTCCATAAGTTTGGGTGGTCTGGTTGCTCTGACTTGCGAGGGCTTTCTGTGGTTGACTTTTTAGGGACCAAGCATTGTCCCATAAGTTTGGGTGGCTTGGTTGCCTTGCTTATTTTGGGCTTTCTCAGTTTCTTTTGGTTTTGAACGAGGAGGTCTGAGCATGTTCCATAAGTTTGGGTGGCTCAACCTCTTCCTGTTTTATCATTAAGAAAATAAATCAGGCAGAAGACCAGGCATGTTCCATAAGTTTGGGTGGTTTTGGACCAATGCCATGCACATGCTGGAACCAAAAGGTTATAACTTGGCTATATTTTACTACTACTTTACCTATGAACAGGATAGTCAGACACTGCCCCATAAGTTTGGGAGGTCTGAGTATAGCTTATCTCAACTGAAAAGAGTATTAATTAAGAATAAATTTGTGGTAAGAAGGGCAAGTTGAACCTCGAGTTAAAGATGATCGGTTCAGTTATATGCTACCTTAAAAGATTAAGTGTAGATAATTATATATAACCTGGATACTTAAACAGTTTAGGGCGACTAGGATGGACAACCTAGTCATATGCCCAAGGAAGAGAAAAATTGCAGTACCCTCTGTTTGTGTATACTCAATGACTGAGATAGAGACTGTTCCATAAGTTTGGGTGGTCTAGCTTTATGCCTTATGTAAGTTGGGTATAAGGGATAAATCATTGAAAGACTACGAACTATTGCTTGACAAGTTTAACTTTGGGTTGGTGAGAGTACTTACCTTTGTGGTTTGGCCTTGCATGTGGCTGAGTGAGATTACTACTTGGTCTGAGTTTCAGTTTGATAGGTAGATGTTTTAGAAGCTCGCCACGTGCTAGTGCTATAGGATTTAGTTCAATTTCTGCATTTTCTAAGCTATGTTTTTGTTTACTTAGGTCAATTCTCGCATTTTTGGGGATCATTTTTTATACTTGGCTTTGTATAAATCTTGGTAAGGCCCTTTTTTAACGGGAAGCGTTGCTGAAATTTATGCAAATCCAAGGAGTTAGTTAAATTTTGGCTTTCAAAAGTTCAGTTTGTCTAAATTTTATATATGACTTAGTAAAAATTTGAGAAGTCTCATTTTATGAAGGGAGTGTTGCCCAATTTTTTACAAATTCAAGGAGTTAGACAAAATTGAACCTTGAGAAGTCAAAAGCTGTTTTAGGTTTTGAACTTACCTTTGTATGAATCTGGGAAGTCTCATTATCTAAAGGGAGTGTTGCCCAAATTTTTACAAATCTAAGGAATTAGTTAAATTTTGTCTTAGTTGAACTCGAGTTTTGTTTTGAGTTCGCATCTGACTTAGTATAAATCTAAGAAGTCTCTGTTTCTAAAAGTAGTGTTGCCCAAAATTTTCTAATTCAGGGTGTTGGACAAAATTTGACTTTCCAAGATTTTGATAATATTTCAATCTTTATATTCGAGCTCGTATAAATTCTGAAAAGGCACTTTTCCTCCTGGAAGCGTTGTCGAAATTTTCCTAGAGATAGGTTTTATTTTGACTGGTGACGATTCTGGCGCCTCTTACTTAGAGGTAGACTTAGGCTTATCTGAGTAAAATGATTCGAAGTGAGATCGTGATATGGAGGTTATTCTCCATAGACTTATAGATTTAGCCTGGGGATTGGCATGTCTTATGTTACATGTCCTCTTGATTGCTTGATTCAATATTCAGACTAGTTTCAACTTGATCCTACAAGGATCATCTTCTGTTATCACAGATAATAGGTCGGTTGCCGATTCGTCGGTCAACGACTCAACTCCAATCCATTCTCAATACCCAACCTAAAAGGTTCTAGCCCTGGTGGTTTCTATTGTTTTGTTAAGGTTTTCGCCCATACTTTTATTGAATGGCTATTTAACGAAGGTGCTGGGTATTTATTTTTAGAAGGTTGGACAAATGTTGGGGCTTGCATGGCTAAAGCAAGGGGTATGAGTATAGAGAGTGGTTGAAGTTGACCCCGTGTAGAGCGTGGACTTTTGTTGACTCTTTGATGTGATTGCAGGTATGTTTTATGGTGCGGATTTTGGATTTGACTGTCTGCGATCACATACATATATGGTTGAGAGGAGTCCCACTGTGATTGTGAGAAGTGATCGTCACATATCTATTCACCTATATATATATATACAGGGTTGCCGGCGTTCGGGATGGGCCGAACACCGGAACCCGAACGCCCGAACGTTTGGGAACCCATCTCGACGCGTTCGGACGTTCGACCGAACGCGGAACCAAAAAAAAAAAAAAAAAAAAAAAAAAAAAAAAAAAAAAAAAAAAAAAAAAAAAAAA